TTTAGGCATTGGAGCTGAGATCTGCGCTCAGGTCAATGAATCACCGGCCTGGGATTATTTGGACGCTCCAATTTTGCGTGTCACTGGAGTTGACGTGCCCATGCCATATGCCCATCACCTTGAGGATGCTGCTCTTCCTAATGCAGGACATATTGTTGCGACAGTGAAGAAGAGTCTAAACGTTAAGTAGACGTGGTGAGTTCTAATTTTTTTCCTATAATTTCCATTTTATATTTTTGAGAAGGCTTAGTACCCCTAAAATAATCTTGTGGCAGTGCTTTTTTTGATTCTTAGGATTATCATATCAGTGAATTAAAATTATAGTCTGTCCTTGAAATCACTATTTCAACAGATGGAGACAGTATTGGAAACATCATTTTCTCAGTTTGACACTTCCGTAACTTTTCGCAGCTTGAGAGAAAAAAGTGCTGAGCTTTCAACACCTGGTTGTCTGTTCACAGGAACAAAAACGAAAAGATTCGTTTTTTGATACTTCATGACTCATAAGCATAGTTGTTCTTTTGCAAAAGATAACCACAAACGTTATTGCAGTACATCTGAAGTGAAGAAAAAAATGAACAGCTGAACAAGCTTAGATTTATATCTCCAAGCTTTTCATCAAGCTTTGGTTAGTCACTTCACCTTGTACCATACCGCGATGATCCTTTTATAGTTGCAAATTGCTGTAGGAGATACCTAAAACGCTTGGTTCTAGTCATATAACCTCTGACTGCATGTTTTCGATTCGATAGATGTTTCAATGGCAAAATATCAGTTAGTTTTGACAATGCTTTATCTTCTGCAGTTATTCTTCTAACCCCATGCATGTTTTTTTTTTGCATCCCAGCCCCACAACTTTTCTCTTTACAACTTCATAACATATTTTTCCCGTCCCATTTTGCTGCACCTCCCTCCCCACTCCAAGCACGACCAACCGTCAGAGCTTCCGATGAGAACATCACATTATGTTAGCTCCTATTTAGAGCTATGGTAGTAAAGCTTCCATGATTTTTTTATGGGAAGCACTTCACTACTAATTTTCGAAAATAACGTAGGGCCTTGAACGAATCCCATCTGTTAACGAATATTGTACCATGTCTGCAACCGTGCAGACATCTGTTTGACTTCCGTATGGCCGGTGCAACTGTGTGACTCCCTTTTTTTTGCATTTAATCAAAAGTTTCTTCTTATCGTCGTAAATTCTGAAATCAGTAATATAATTATGTGGGACTCCATTAGCTAGAAATAGACCTGCAACATTGAACTTCTTTGTGAAAAATTTCCGTTGTCCCTTCAGCGAATATTATGCGAGTCGTCTCTAAATTGAAGTTGAATATTTGACCACCGAAGACGCTGAATAGCCGACTGTCCGACTAAGCAAGTAAATGCATCTTTTCCAATATTCTACTTTTTGTAAAATCAAAATTATGTTTTTGCGAATGTCCAATCCGACTATCGTATATTCGAATCACTTGGAAAATTATTCGAGCACGAATACTCGTTCTCAACTATACTTTGGAGCATAACCACATGTAATGTATCTGGACATACTCTCCAGAAAAAATGAAAAAAGAAGTAGACGGGAAGCGCATTCACGACAAATCCACGGCTGCATCCAGTATTACTTATTGTTGTAATATTACACAAGCGGATGAATTTTCGCAAGCCACAG